CTTCTCTTCTCTTCTCTTCTCTTCTCTTCTCTTCTCTTCTCTTCTCTCTCTCTCTCTCTCTCTCTCTCTCTCTCTTGCTCTCGCTCTCTCTCTCTCTTTGTCTCTGTCTCTGTCTCTTTTCATATTAGGTAATTACCTAATCCACAAAGCCTTTTTAAATAGTAGTAGTAATAATAACAATAGCAAGAATTTATACTGCACTTGAAGGTTTGCAAAGTGCTGTCCATACATTATTTCATTTGACCCTCCCAATAGTAAAACTCTGGAACACATCTGTTTTGCAGCCACAAGATATACACATCCTCATTTCACTGGCAGATTCATTGATTCCAATGCAAAGCAGGTCAGTTCTCAACAAAGAGGTCCTACAGATGCCCGATGACCACATCTAGCCCCCTGAGCAGGCAAAGCTGAGGCTTTATGGCACTTGGATGCCTTTGCAGAGATGCCTCTCCAAGCAAGGGCTCTGTAGCATCTCATAGCCCAGGCTTGGAGGTTAGCACTCAGAAGGAGGGAGTGAAGCAGCAGCCTAATCTAGCCTCATCCAGTGAACTAGAATGGAAGCTTCTTGAGGGCAGACACTGTTTCTGTTCCCAGCACCTAACACAACATCTGGCATACAGTAGGTGCTTAATGAATATGTGATTGATAGAGATGGACATTCCCTAAGCCATCTGCTCTGTAGTTATTCTTAGAAATTATATGGAAGGAAGTTTATTTAAGCTTTTACTTCAGGAGCAGCTAGGTGGCACAGTGGATAGAGCACTGGCCTGTGGAGTCAGGAGGACTTGAGTTCAAATTTGACTCAGACACCTGACACTTACAAGCTGTGTGACCCTGGGCAAGTCATTTAACGCCGACTATCTTGCAAAAAAAAATGTTTTTATTTCAGGGTCTTCATTTTCTAATCCTCCTACTCCTACATCAGCAGCTCTGCATGTCTGAGCAAAATGCCAACAATATTGCTGGAAAACATCCTAAAATTAAAAAATAAAACCAATTTCTAATTGTAAGTTTTTGAAATACTTCAAAACAGCCAATCTTGAAAACTTCAAGGTTTGGAATTGGTCTTCATATTGTCATGCTAAGACTATAACTCAAAGGTAATCCACTTTCTGCTGTGAATCCTGGAAAGGTGAGGCAGTCTTCTGTACTGGCAAGAGGGCCAGGCTTGATGTCAGGAAGACATGAGTTCAAATTCTACCTCAGATACTTCCTAGCTATATGACCTTGAGCAAATCACTTTCTTCTCTGAGCCTCAGTTTCTTCATTTGTAAATTGGGTATTATCTCACATGAGACTCAAGAGAGATAACATGTGTAAATAAAATCCTTTGCAGAAATGGAAGCACTATATGTGTTATTGTTATTAACAAAGTTATTGTTATTGTTATTAACAAAGTTATTGCTATTGTTATTATTAACAAGGCCAGTGGAGGCTTTGTAGTTAGAACTAGATTTAATCTTTGCATTTATCACTGCAAATTTACAGATAAGGATATCATACTTTAAATAAATTCAAGGAATTCTGAAACTTTCTTATTATTATTATATTAGATTTGAAACGAGGTTATCATTTTCCTGTGACAAAAGGGAACTCACTAAGTGCCATCTTTCCTAAAGCATATCTGCCTACCCTGGCTGCTTGCTATGAGATCACTTCCTTAACAATCCAGCATCCTGCCCTGACAGCCAGCAGAACAGTGGAAGAGATCGATGCCCAAATCCTGGTTAACTTTTCTCATGAGCTTTACTTCCTAAGGTGGGCATCACACAGTTAGCCCATTTCCTAACACAAGGGAATTCAAAGCAAACTGTGAGTCCACAGACAAATTTGGGAGAATATGAAATAGAGAAAGATTCAAGAAAAAAGCCTCTGTGCTCTGATCAATCCTTTATAGTCCCAGTGTGGTCATTAAATTTGGAGGCAGGCAGAGCTCTGACCTGCTAACCATACTGTATGCTGGAAGTGCCTTCATGCAGAATGTTTTTGTGAGTACAGATATGTGAATGCATGTGTGTGTATACAAAGCAAAGCAGTACTGTGGGTAGTCTAAATAATAAGTACAGAATAAATCATTGACATACAATCAATTATAGTGCATTAAGCAAAGACAAAATGGTATATAGAGAAAAAGACATACTGAAAATAATCTTAGTCCAAGTAAACGGCCAGAGGCAATGGTGATGAGGTATGCTTACCTATAATCATTGAATTAAGTCATTTAAGTACAGTTAGGTTATAGGGAGAGACACAAAGACCTGGCCTCAGAGTCAGAAGACCTGGGTTCAAATCCTGTCTCTGACATGCCCCGGCTGTTTGACCCGGGATAAGTCCGTTAATCTTAGTGATCTAGGCAGCTCTTTGAAACTAAGGTGCCCAAGGGCATCAGTGGGGGAGTTTTCTTCTCTATCTTTAGGTTTCCCTGGTTGCATTTGAAAATCATGTGATTCCCTCCAAAATGTCCTTGTGTTCAGCTGTGCTCTCAGCCAGGGAGGGGCTGGGTATGAGCTCAGCTTGACCAGTAGATGAGACACTAGAAAAGGTAGACGACACCCAGAGAGGGGAGGCTGCCCAGAACACAGGACAGAGGGGAGCAGAGGCGAGCTGCTCCGATCTGGTTAATTCGAGACTCCAGCACCTGGCACAGTAAGGTGAATGGGATTCTGCACACAGAGGATGGGGGGGGGGGGGCTCATCACCTAAGATGATACTGGAGTGAAAACAGTTGTGGCCAAGCTGACCCGATCTATCTTTTGTACCTGGAAAAGCTTTTCCCCCTTTATGTCTCAAAGTGAATGAAGTGATTTCTGAATTTTTAAATTTTATCATAAATGAGGAGGGGCAATCCAGTATATCTAGAGTGCTGCACTGGGATTCAGAAGGCCCGGGTTCTAGTGCAGGTTCTATGAATAACTTGCTTCAAGTCATTACACTTTCCTCAGTTTCCTCATCGGTGAAAAGAGAGTTGGACAGGATGAACCCCAAAGCCCACTAGAGCTTTAATGATTCTACTTACAAAATCATGAAATGTCTATTATTCTCTAACTATGATTCTAGAAACACTTATCCTTCTGTATATAGCGACTGAAGAGATGGACTAATGTTTCCCTGGGATGCTTAATCTTTCATGACTAATGCAGCCCAAGCCAAAACTAAAATGACAATGGGAACCATGAGTCACCTCAAAGAACGACCAAAATGTCAAACGAAATGCAGTTTGGCTTGACTTTCCCTTCTGTATTCCTAGCACCTCGAACAGCGGCAGGCACATAGGACAAGGTTAGTAAAGTCTGGCTGATGGCCTCATTCTTTCTATGGTTCATAATTCTTAGCCTAGCATTATGTTAGATGCTCTGTGTCCAATAAGGGTTAGTGATTGGATCTGTGATTTCTTTGGTATACGGTACTCTCAGGTGAGGAAATTCCTTCTACCAATGCAAATTAGCACTTTTTTGGCAACTTATGGTTTTAGCCTTTTTGGTACCAGGGACCCCTTGGGCAGTCTGGTGGAGCCTATAGACCCCTTCTTTTCAGAATCATGTTTTCAAATGCATAAAATACAGCACAAAGGATTACAATATGGAAACAGTTGTCAAAATATGTTTAAAAACAAGTGCATGGTTAAGAAGCCTTGTCTTGAAAAGTTGCCTATAGCACCAAGAGGTTAAGTGATTTGCCCAGCGTGACACAGCCAGAATGTGTCAAAGGAGAGACTTGAATCCAGCTCTCCCTGATTTTGAGGCCAGCTCTCAATGCTGCCTCTGTGCTCAATAAATATCTGTCAGCTCTAGTAGCCTAGATTCCACCAGTATCAGGAAACCAGTTCCTGCCGTTTACCTGTGAATAATCACCAAATTGCTGAGAATAATTAATGTAATTTTCCAATGCATGTTGTGATGAGGTTCCCTGAGAGATGGCATCCACTATGTTGCTTGTGATTCCAGTCTGGGGTAGAGCACTCAAGGTCTTACTTGCAACTGGGGCTGAAATCAAAATTAACAGGCTTGTGTCAGTGAGGGCAGTAGAGCATCGAAACACGGTGCCACAGGGTAACTGTACTGGAAAACGATGTTGTACTTATCTTTAAATCAGACACAGATCAGCATTTAATAATGTAAGGAAACCATAGCCTTGTCACCTAAAAGTATCCGCTTCAACATATCACAGAACGACAGAATTTGAGACTTAAAAAAAACCCTTGACACCATCCAACCCAACCCACACATGAAATGAATCCTCCTGTGACATCTCTGACAAAGTGCTGTCCAGCTCTGCTCTCAGATCTCCAGAGGAGGAGGTAACCCACCACCTTTGAAGACAGCCCACTACACGCTGGGACAGCTTCAATCGGTAGGGAGCTTTTCCTGATAATCAAGCCAAAATTGGCCTCACAGCAACTTCCACCCATTACTTGGGTCCCTCGCCTTGGGCCCAAGTGAAATAAACTTAATCCCTAGCATATCTTTTGTGACCCTTCACTCCTGTTCCTTGCCTGATCCGTACGGCATGGACTTCACCGTCCTGGGTCCCACCCTGGATTCTCCCTAACTTCTCAATGTCCCTTCTGGGTCCAGATGTGGACACACGAAGTCTGACCAGGGCACAGGACAGAGAGACTGTCACCTCTTCATTCCTGAAAGTAACCCAAGATGACATTCACGTATGTTCCCTCTAGTACAAAAGAGCCAGCTTTATCTGGCACTAATAGTGGAATCCTATTGCAATGCAATATCTCAAGTCCGTATGCCTCCAAATTCTAAGTTGTAACCTTTTCAAAATGAAATTCTTCTAAAAAGAAATTACTCCAATTCCATAAACATAATTTAATCTTTTTTTCTGACTTTTAAAATCGTCATCCATTATGCCAGACTGCCACACCGTGGGGTTTTTAACTCTCTTCTCTCAATTGTCTTTTTGGGCAATAGTACGTTGACTTTTTAAAGTTTGCCAAAGTTGGAGAAATCGGTTCACCGATGTGTTAAAAATATGTGTAAAAGTAGAGTCAGTAAGTTCTTGATAAAGGAACCCAGGCTTCTCTGGTGGAACAAAAAACATACAAGAGCTTTTGAGACAACTACTTTAGCAGATCAGGGCTAGTTCCTAACCCTCCCCCTTTTTTTGGGTTCACTTCTGTTCTGATCTGCCCAACTGAGGTTGAAATAAGTCAGATGTCCAGCTAAATGTAGTGTTACTGTATACTTATGGGAACTAAGTGGGGGGGGTCACCATATTTTCCCTCTGGCATTAACCTTCAACCACACTGTTGCAAGGATATACTGTAGAGCTCTCGGCTGCAGATGTTTATAACAAGAAAAATATTTTCCCTCCAAAGAAAAAGTACATGGGAGCTCCAAGATTATTTTTGTTGGAAGACCCACATCATCAGGGTCAGAGCCTTTTTAATGTCTCCAAATGGTAAATTCTTTTGACGACAAAAACAGACAATCTACCTGTGCTCAAAGCTCTGGCCAGCCCCTGCGCAGGGCATAGGCAGCCTTTGGGATGGGGGAGAACTCAGGCTCAGGCAGCTTTTCAGTGACTTTACAAAAGGTTGTAAACAGGCTAAGCCAGAGGGGTTCTTTCCTTACCTGGTAAACAGACCCCAGGCAATACACTGGCCAAGTTCAAGTACGGGTTGGTACTAAGCCGGATTTCTTTTGGCGGTTCCCCCAAAAGCGAAGTCTGATTTTTAGAGACAGTCTATTTAAGAAAGAAAGAAAGAAAGAAATATGGCTTGTTTATGAGGACATTTTACATATGGGGACACTGAGACCCAGGAAGAGAAAAGGCCTGCCTGAGGTCACAGAAACAGAAAGAGAAGAGGCAGAATTTGAGCTGGTGACCCAGCGTCTGCTTGAACACTTCTAGTGACAGGCAGCTCACCACCCACCCAAGGCAAATTGTTCCATTCTGAGTCCACACTGTTTGTTACAAAGTTCTTTTACATACTTAGTTGAATCTGCCTCCCTGTAAAGTCCGTCTGCTGGCCCTAGTTTTAACCTTTGGAGTTAATGGCCCTCTTTCTCATGCTATTCTTTTACATATCTGAATGCCACTATCATTTCCTTCATTCCAAGAATTCTCTTCACAGGCTAAATATTCTTGGTTTCCTGAGCTATCCTTCATAGAACATAGTTTCAAGACCCCCTTATGACCTTGTTCACCTTCAGCCCACTGAAATCTCACTTGACCATGTCCCTCTCAAAATGTGGTAACTGGAAACAGCCCTACTCTGAACTAACCAAGACAGAATATGGTAGGACTATCACTTCCCTTGATTTGGACACTAGTTTTTTATTCATAACATTTAAAAAAGACTAGGTAGCACAGAGGAGAGAGGATTGGTATGGAGTCAGGAAGACCTGAGTTCAAGTCTTCCATCTGACAAGTAAGAGGCATGTGACCCTCGATGAGTTATTTCATCTCTCAGTGGGCTAGGCAACTCTCTGAGACTAAGTTACAGATGAATTGTTGAGCTGTCTCAGTGGAGAGAGTCTCCACACTGAGGAGATACCAAGTTGGGACCAAAAATAATAATAACTTAATACAGGCCTCATGTTCCCCATATTCTCTTTTTTATCCAGACCTTTACCATTGGACAGAAGAGTAGTTTGGGTGAGATAGTGTCTGGGTGCACTCCAAACACCAGAATGCCCACTGTATCTTAAACATTAGGGTATGGTACCTCTGCTGGGTCTCCATTCATTAAACCCTGACAAAAAGAACATGGCAGTCCAACCTAGCTTCTGTCATACTTATTCTCTCTCCATGACTGTCATCTACTGACCTTGAGGTCACTTTCTCAGCTCTTCAGTGTACCTGGCTCATGGCCCTCCTGAGCTGTTCTCCCTATCATCCATTGGAACTTCAATACTCATGCTTAGGACCCCTTGATTAAACTAAGTGACCATTTCCTCAAATCTAACCATCTTCAACCCAAGTCAGTCACATACCTCAATTTTACATCCTAGACTTTGCTATGTCACAGAATTGAACCAGCAGTGAAGAATCTGAGCTTTGAAATTCAATCCATCCAGCCATCCACTCCTGTTCTTTCAGCCCGCCCATATCCTCTCACACCAAACTGACTCTGCCCATTGCTGCTTGCAGAGACCACTTTCTCCATCCTGGAATTATTTTCCAGCCCATGAGTGATGGGAAACTCTCACAAATAACATTCCAAAGACACAAAGAGAAGCAATTCCAGTGAGTAGAAAACAGGGGCTTTGTCTAAAGAGACCACTGTGCATCCACAGGGAATTCAATGAACAACATCTATTTTTAGATGGCACATACAGAAGATGGAAATTTGGGCGCCTTGTAGGATCATGATGGCAAAAGCCTGGCATGGTTCTGTAAACAGCATGAGTAATACTAAAATCTGTACTGAGCTGAGGCTGGCAAGGAATCACAAGGACAGTGAAAATGCTTTTTGGGTTTGCTTTTGTTGCATTTCTAAGCCTCTGGTGAAGAGAGAAGGATTAAACAAGGAATAGGAAGGACCACTGCTTGAAGTGAAGGGATGGTCATAATGTAAGTCGTCAATGGAGAACTGCTCAACTTAGGTTTTTCATTCGTTCTCACTCTCGATTATCTAGACAAGAGGCCACACTTGGCTCTGTAAAGGCCCTTCCCAGACTGACACCTCATACCTCTAGAGTACTTATTGTGCTGGTGTCTTATCCCCCTACCAACTGGAGGCTTCATGAGGGCAGAAGGTCTTCTCTAACTTTATATCTCTTCCAGCATTGTAGAGGCCTAATAAATCTTGTTGAATAAGATTGCCTCCCATCTACTTAGGCCCTGGTGTATTAGATTAAGAGCCTGTAGCCAAATAAAGTCCCTAAGTCTTTTTTTTTTTCTATGAAAAGCTCTTGAGTTTTAGTTTTTACCTTGTAAAGTTCATAAGATCATAGGATTTTAGAGTTAGAGAAATCTCAGAGGTCCAACCTAACTTCCTTTTTTTTTTACAGATGGGGAAACTGAGGCCCAGAAAGATGAAGCAACCTGTCTAAGTGATTTTGGCTAGAAAAGGGAAGAGCTGGGATTTGAACTCAGATCTTCTGACTCCAAATCCAGCACATTTTCCCTTCTACCTGGGAGTGCTTTATAATTCTCACTGTCAAATTTCATCTAGTTGGAAATGCCCCAACACTTTCTCTTGCAGAGATCTTTCATGCTTTCCGTTCTGTCATGCAATGACATAGCTATTCCTCCCAGTTTTATGAAGTAGTGGGCATTTTGATCAGTCTGCCACCTCTGAGTCATCAAAATCCCTGATAAAATTCTGGACAAGAGAAAGCCAAGGACAGAGCCCAGACACGTTCCATTGGAGACTTCCTCCCAGGTTAACAAAAGTCATCAGTGAGCCATCTCTGCTTGTGATAGGACGAGTAGGTAAAAAAAGGTCTTTAATTCTACGCTCACTCAGTCCCTATTTCATGATCTTATCCAGGAGGAACAATTATAATTAGCAGTTACTTAGCACTTCCAGGTTTACAAAGAGCTTCACAAATATTATCTCATTTGATCCTCACAACAACCCCGAGGTGCTATTATTAACCCATTTTACAGATGAGGAAGCAACAGCTAAAATGGTGGGTGACTTGCCCAGGGTCACACAGCGATCAAAAAGGCAGAATTTTAATTCAAATCTTCTTGACTCCAAGTCAAGCATCTTATCCATTGAGCCACCTAACTACCTCATTATGAAATTTGTCACATGCTTTACTAAAATCCATCCAGAGCCTATCTCTGACCTTCCCCTGCTCTGCCAAGTCAAATACACCTTGCACAAATGGGAATCGGATTAGTTTGCCATAAGTTCAATGCTGCGGATTGTGCTTTCCTTTTCTAAGCACAAAGCCAACAAGGAACACGAGGAAGGCTCAGTCAAGTCAATTTAAAACAATTCAACAAACATTTATTGGTGTCTGCTCTGTGCAAAGGCCTGAGCCGGGCACTTAGAGAAAACAGCTGCCATCATTTGGCTCAAACCCCTGGATAACTTAAGGAAACCCACCAGACCTCGCTGCCAAATGGTGGCCCAGGCTGGGAAGATGATGGCGGCAGCTAGGGATGCCGGGGATGGGGGGCACAGGAGGGGATCACTGGCCACACCTCCAACATGGAGGACTCTCCACCCACAACAACCAGACCTGCCCTGGGCCAGCTTGACGGAACAGCAACATTTCTATTTTAGAAAATGCCAACTTCAGATAAATTGTATATAACCCTGTGGCAGTACTGCCGGGAAAACTTGCCAAGCTGTTAACAGAATTCCACAAAGACTCTTAAAGTATTAAGAAAAATAAATGTTTACAAAAGTTAAAAATGCACATGTAAATTGTACTGCATATCCCAGGTTTAAAAAACAACTTTTTTTTATATTCATTTGAAACTAATTTTAATAGGCACAAAACCTGGAATTCAGCTAAACAAGGGCCAATGAACAAGATAGAATAGATACGATGTGTAATCATATATGAAGGAATCTTCCTTCCCAATCTCTGCTCTTCCTGATTCCAAACTCTGCCTTCTATCCCCCACCCCATCTTGTAGGTTCAGAAGATACCTATTTATTAAGATGTTGGGGGGGAGGGAATCCCCACTTTGAAAGGAAAATTCAATTACTGTAAATAGGAATCACTTTTAAAAGTGTGTATATATGTACATATTATACAGTAAAAGTGCTATGTATTATACTATACAATACATACTTTTAAAAGTTATTCCTATTTATCTTAGATATACACATATACTTTTATAAAATATATATTTAAGTATATATGTATATGTATATTTTAAAAGTGATTCCTATATATGTATACATATACACATACTTTTAAACGCAATTCCTGTATTATATATACACATGTATATACAAATATAAAGTGATTCCTGTTCATATATACACTTATATGTACATGTATACACACACACAGACACACAGACACAGTTTTTTTTTAAAGTGATTTTCTGTTTTCTGTAATTGAATTTTTCTTTCAAAGTAGGGATTTTCTTCTAACATTTTCATAAATAGGTATGTTCTGAACCTCTGAGATAGAGTAGGGGATAGAGGACAGAGCTTGGAATCAGGAAGATCAGAGACTGAATCTCCTTCAGCTACTTAGTAGTACTTCCCTTACTTAGTTGTCCTAGATGTGGCACTTAATAAAAAGAAAAGAAAAAAGCATTTATTAAGTCCCTGTTGGGTGTGCCAGGCACCCTGATAAGCTAGGTGCCATACAAAATGCAAGATAATCCCTCCCCTCATGAAACTAACATTCTAATAGGGAAAGATCATTTAGGTCAGAAAAGGTGAAGGGATAGTAAGTGGGTTCGTAGAGCAACTGATAGCCTCAGTTTCCTTATCTGTACAATGGGAATAATAATAGTACCTTCTTCACAAATATGGCAATATAGGTAATATGCTTTTCAAATGCTAAAGTCCAATGTAAATATGAACTACTGTTATTATTAATATTCCTTTAGATACCATTTAGTCTAATTATGTATTTGGTGCTTCTCCTTTGGATAATTTAAATGTATTATTACTTTCTTTTGAAATTCAAAATAATTATAATATGAAGATATTTTAATAAATCCTTCCAGGTTAAACTAAGAAAAAAAGGTGATATGCTATTACCAAGGTCATGTAACATAAAATTAAGAGAAAAACTTATTTTTCTGTCTCTTCCTATTCCTCCCGTCTCCTTACCCCTGAACTTGCTTCGGTGCTTTTGGGCTGATTTTGTTGCCTGGGCTGAGCCGTCCCCAAACCTCCAGCAGCAGGATTTGTAAAGCCTGGAAGATAAGTCTGCGGCCCTGAGACGGTTCCTTCTGGTGATCCCAACGTGGCTGATGGTTTGTCCTGAGGAGTACTTGGCCCTGGCCCACCTTGGCCAACGATGTGCTGATTTGGAAAGAATGGTAAGATCCCTGCTCCTGCTGCAGCCAAGGTCAAAAGAGCAGTTGCGTTAGGAGACAAGATCAATGAGAAACAGAAAACCTTTTACTAGAAATACTTAGCAAGATGGAGGATTTTGGGTGCTAAGTTAAGACAGAAGCCCTTCAAATTCATCTTGTATATATATTATAGAATAGTCTATTTCTTTCTTTCCCTTCCTCCCTCCCTCCTTCCTTTTTCTTCCTCCCTCTTTCCCTTCCTACCTCCTTCTCTTCATTTCTTTTTTCTTTACTTCCTTCTTTTCTTTCTCCTTTACTTCCTCCCTCCCTCTCCCTTCCTTTTTTCTTTATTTCCTTCTTTTCTTCCTCCTTTTCTTCTTCTCTCCCTCTCTCTTCCTTCCTTTTTTCCATCCTTCATTCTTTCTTCCCTTTTCCCCTTCTCTCCTTCTCTCTTTTCCTTCTTTCTTTTCTTTCTTCCTTCTATTCATTTTCTATCCTTCTTTAAGCATTTATTAAATGCCTACTATGTACTCAGCACTGTGTTAAGTGCTAAGGAAAAAACACAAGAATGAACCAACCTTGGCCCTCAAAGTGCTTACATTCTATTAGGGGAAAAACCATGTATACACTTTAGTAAATAAAACTAAAGAAAGAAAGTGCACACAGGGTGAACTTGAGGACTGCTGGGCAAAGAATCAGCCGCTCTGCTGTCATCTCTGCAATTTCAGCAGAAGATAAGGAAGGCCACAGCATGCTGGGAGGTCCCCCTGTGGGGATCTGATGGGAAGATATGGATGAGTCATGCAGCAGGTGCAGAATCTAGAAGACCTGTGTTCAAATCCAAGCCCAGGCACTTACTAGCTGTGTGATTCTGGGGAAGTCACTTAATCTCTTTCTGCCTTGATTTCCTCAACTGTGATATGGGGATAACAGTGGCACCTACCTCCCAGGGCAATAGTGAGGATCAGATGAGAAATCTGCAAAGGACTTTGCAAATCTTGGTGTGCTACATAAGTGCTGGCTGGTATTATCATTATTATTATTATTAATTGCCATTGTCAATGTTATTGAAGGGAACTTCCAAAAACCAATCACATTGCAGACCCATTTGAGTAAATAAAGTCTTTTTTTTTCTGGGGGGGCGGGGAAGGGCAGTAATAATTGAGAGGATCATAAGGATTCTTATAGGAAGCAGCACCCAAGGAGAGACAAAGCCAGGGATTCCAAGAGGCAGAGGAGAGTGGAAACCGCACTCTGGGTATGGTGGGACAGTCTATGCAGAAGCCACAGGCAGGGGGATGGAACATTCTGTACAGGAAGGAGTGAGTTCAGGAAGAATAAAGGAACGAAGAAAGCTAGGCGAGATTTGCCTTCCAGATTATGGACCCAAGGACACGAAGAAAGATGGTGTCCTTGGCAGAAAGATGGAGATTTCAGAAGAGGGGGAAATTTGAGGGGGAAGAGAATGAAGTCCGGCTTTGGACAGGGCCAGTTTGAGATGCCTGTGGGGCATCCAGGGGGCGTCATCCAGCGGGTACGTGGTCATTCCTCCTCTTCCTCTGATGCTTCATTATGTCATGGGGATGACCCTAGGGTCTCCAAGTTGGCCAGTGGAATAAGCTGGAAAGTTTTCAATCGGGAATCTATGATCTTACGGGTGTCAGGCAGCTCCCAGCAGCAAGACTCTTTGATCAATGCAGATTTGCAACTATTCTGCAGAGTCAGCAGTCTGGAGAGTTGTCTAAGTGATTCAGCAGCTTATCACACAGCCAGGACATGACCTGGAGGCATCATCGAACTGCCTGTCATGGAAACATCTGCCCTCAAAAACCATCAACACCTCAGCCATCAATCCCCTGTCTCAATACAGAACTCATTACATTCTTTTAAAGTAAAGAATTTTAGGATTTGGTGTTCCCCTAAAATCAGATAATAGATGGCTTTATATAGCTTTTTAGTTTCCTCATAATAACCCTATGAAGTAGGTGGTATTATTATTCCCCATTTTACAGATGAGGAAATTGAGGCATACAGAGGTTAAGTGACTTGCCCATAGTCACACAGCTAGGAAGTGTCTGAGATAGGATGTGACTTCAAGTTTCCTGACTCCCTGGTGCTGTAACCACCGCACCACCTAGCTCACTTAAAGGAAAGAAGCAGCTGGTCAAATTATGAGCTTCAAATCTCACACGGGACTTCTCAGGAAGAACAGAACTACATGAAGGTGCAGAAAGAGACCTCATTTACTTTTATGTTCTTCTCCTCGGTGCCCCAACTCTGACTTCAGGGACGGTGCTGGCCCGGCTCCCAGCGCTGTCTGAAGAACCATAGCCGGGGGTTCACCCAGTAATCCAGGTTTCTACAGAAAAGAAAAAGCATTTAAATACCTCTTCTCCTCACAGCAATTCCAAATCTGGTAAAAAAAAACAAAAACAAAAACAGTACTTCACTGGGCTGTGGAGTGTCAAATGGCTGGAATTCTTGTTACTGGGGAGGTAACAGCTGGTGGATCCCTTGAGTTTGGGAGTTCTGAGTATGGCGCCATTACGTTGAGCCCTGAGGAGTGGGGGTGAGAGTGGGGTGGAAAGGGCGACCAGGCTGCCTAAGGAAGGCAAACCAGCCCAGGACAGAAACAGAGCAGTGGGATAGGGCCTGCGAGAGCTGTGACTAGAACCCCTATCGAGGAGGAAAAAGGGCAAAGTCCATTAAGTATCACACTTACGCTGTTTGTATGAATATTCTCTATCTTCATTAGCTGTTGCTGGGCCAGTTGTAAGTAAGAGAGATTCTGAAGCAATAAACGAGAGGTATTGCTCATAACTGAATTCTGCTAAAAAAAAAATGATGGGGAAAAGAGTCAGCTTTACCAAAAAGCTCTCATAATTCTCTCTCTCTCGTAACATAAGATGTTCACCAAGACATCAAATAACCAAGTTCTATGTACCCCAACGCAATCTAATACCATTCCTTTTCAATTCAGATCAGTGGTTTGTTTACATCGAAGTACACTTTCCTCAAATTATCCGAACTCTTGTACCCCTTACTATTATTATTTTATTATTATACTATATTATATACTAGAGTATTATATATTATACTATATATTATACCATACTATTTATACTATCATTTATTATTATACTATATAATTATATTATATATTATACTATACTATTATTTATAATTATACTATATTATTATATATTATGCTACATTATTATGTTGTATATTATATATTATACTATACCATTATTATTTTATTTATTACCATTTCAAAATACAAGATGCATAAGGAAAGGAAAAAGAAGAGCTCAACAAGGCACAAACAAAACCCAGTCCTATTCCTAATGCCCCAGACTTTCAGTTCTAAGGGACAAATGGGTATAGAGGAAGATAAATAAATACAATGACTCTGGGGGAGAGGGTGCTCACACCATGCCAAATTTCCCCCATGTAGACGATAGAATACTTGAGGAACACTCACTACCCATGAGACTCTTGGATACATCCCAACGTCTAATGAAAGGGCCGTCCTAGGGTCCCTACAGATCTGTGTAGATCTATGATCCCATATGACTCACTCCATGTTATAACCAAGTCCAGACAATCATAAGCCACATTATCTCGTGAATGATATTAAAAGCCAACACTACTTGTAATAAAACAGTAACTGTATTTGTATTAAATGCAATCTTTATTAAAGACAATTTGTCTGTATTCAACACAAACAAGTATTAATAGGATAGATGTTAGGAGCTAATTAAAGCAAACTCATGAAAACTCATCTCCAGTACTTGGGTGGCATTTTCACCAAAGTTTTCCAGTTGTTAAAACATTTGCCATATTCTTAAAGGCATTAATAACCTTACAACTCAGAAAATGAGTTTGAGTAAGTGTTTACTTATTAGCATGAGAACCAACTCTTGGTTCCTTCTTTCTTTCTTTCTTTCTTTCTTTCTTTCTTTCTTTCTTTCTTTC